CCTCCAAAATTTCTAATTCCCTCCGTGGTGGGGTGTGGATATTTTCTGGAACCACACAATCTGTATTAAAGTGTATATGACACGAAAAATAATTTCTGCTTATTTGAAAGGCCTTTCAAAATACAGAAGAACGGTGTTTCTCTTTTTGAAATATCTTATTTTGTTTTAGAGATATTGACATTTTTCTATTATGCAAATTACATCAGTGATGACATCATAAGGTTTGCAACTAAAAAGTGGAAAACACAGAATAAACAATATCTCTGGAAGTATTGGAGCAGTGTTCTTGAAACCTGGCACCACAAATGTGTATCACAAAAGAAACAAAATGCCATCCTTGGTGCTGTTGCCATGACAACACTTTTGCCGCTGGTGCTGTCATAATAAAAACTGAAATTCCCAGTTTTTGTCTTAAACCAAGAACCATCTACCCCACCCAATCTAATGATGGGAGGTAAGACAATATGGGAACTATGTCTGTTCCAAGTAGGACCCTTTGTCTCACTTTACAGGTTGCAAATGGGGATATTTGTTTTTTTGACAGAAAGAGACTGGAGCCAAAAGAGTTGCTATGGCAACAGCACTAACGGTGTCATTTTGTTTCTTTTGTGATGCACATTTGTGGTGCCAAGTTTCAAGAACACTAGTTCAATATTTCCAGAGATATCGTTTATTCAGTATTTTCCACTTTTTAGTTATAAACAACATGACGTCATCACTGATCTAATTTGCATAATAGAAAAAATCTCTAAAACAAAAAAAGATATTTCAAAAAGAAAAACACCATTCTTCTGTGTTTTGAAAGACCTTTCAAATAAGCAGAAATTATTTTTCGTGTCATATACACTTTAAAAAACCTGCAAAAATACATGTAAGCAGAACACATGCAATATCTCTTGATAATAACCTGTAAATGAACTGTAACACCAGTACCAAGAACATCCTTCAATGCTGTGTACTGCCTCCGTTGGACCCAGCTCTGCAACTGCATGTTCTCAGTTCCAAATTTCACCACCTCATCTGGAGAAATGCCATCCTAAAACAGGACAATAACATCAAAAAAACATTAATTAGTAAGAGCTATTTCACAACACACAGGATGAAATTGCAATGGAAATATTACATGACGAAAGACAAGCAATGCTATAGGTACCAGTGAGAATTTAAAACATGCAAAACTAGGGTAACCAATTTCAGATCTTCAGTTACAACTAGTTTAGTGGTAGTCAAGAGTGATTGCAATGGAATAAAAAAGATTGTGGGTTCAAATCCTGCTGAATCCTGATTTCTTGCCCACTAAATGTTGTTTGCCTGCCCCGTTTTTGCCTCAGTTTTGGAGGCATTTTCACTGATTGTGACCAGAGCATGATATGAAAAGCTGCTACCAGGCACATCATTTCCATTGATTGTACCAGTGTGGCTGTGCCTGGTGGTTTGTACTTACAGGATCACTCAGCAAATTCTTTGCATGGCATAAATCTCACAAAATCCTACCAACCTTAGCACCTTTACATGACACACCACTGAAGAAGACACTAATTCAAGACAGTAACTTAGCACAAACAGGGTTAGAGCTGGTATATTTTTACCTGGGAGCTGGCAAAATCTAAACGTTTTGTCAGGATAGTTTGTAACTTACCTCAACAGTTTTCAAAATGTCTCTGAAACTTGACCGTTGCTGTCGCAGATCTTTCTTTGCTTTATGCTTGTTGCCATCTGTTGCAAGATCTCGTAACAAGTCACACAGGCCATTGCTATCTCCAATGAAGTCTCTATTAAAATCACGTGCCATCTCATACATAAGTGCCAAGCTCTCCCCAGCAGCAATCCTCACATTCAGGTCATTTGTCTCGAGAAGATTTGTCATTCTTCTTAAATGCCTGGTGGACAAAAATGAGATATTGACAGATAAACATAAACAAACAAGAATAAACTTGAAAGTATTCCCATGTTGCGTAAAAGGGAATGTGAGTAGACCACAAATTTACTCCCATTTGTAAGAACCACAGGTCTCTTTCAATCTTTTCAGCTCACAAAATGGTTCGACTCTGTTTTGTTCTCATGGGCTGGGTGAACTGAAAGAAGACTGCACACAGAGAAAAAGGTTTGGGACATTTGGCAGTTGATGTTTGCTGCCAAAGTTATGAAAATTTACAAATTTACATATACCGAGTGAACATTTGGGTTTGGCACCAAGTTGCAGTTTGATTATTGAACTGTTCTCTTCAAAAAAAGAATATTGAAAAAAGAAAAAGAGAAAAGGGATTCATTACATTGTTACTGGGAGGTAATTAGTTCAAGTCATTCCATATAGCCTTAGAAAATAATGGTATCCAAGAGTACATGAGATGAAGAACTTTTACACTTCTCCTCACAAGACTCTAACTGTTTTGCAGACAGACTCATGTACAACACCTCTCAGTACTTACTTGTTAATAAGCTGGTATGCTTGTTCTGAAGGTGTAACAGACAGAAGAAGGGCCCAGGCTAATAATATATTGCTGTAAACTTCAACTTCATTTGCCTTGACAGTCTTCTTGTTGTCAAATATTCCTTCCAGGACATTTAAGCATTCAAAGAGTTCCTGAAATGTGGAGACAAGGAAATTTACTTTTCCACCAGGCTATACATTAACTAACTTGTTGTAAATGGATAATAAAAAGATGCTAAAAACACACTTTTGTGTTTAACGCAGGATAACAGTTCTGTTCAAATCAGCCAGCAACTTTTCAACTTGCTGAACTTCAAATGATAAAGAAGTGCTTTGGTGATGACGATAATTAATGAGAAATTCTAACAAAGACAATTTATGAAAATGTAAGGAATACAATCTAATCACTATAACATATAATTATTTTTGGTAAGACAACCTGGTATACAAAGGGAGCAATTACATTTAATTACAACTTTGTATTGTTAAGTTAACTGCTTCCATAAAAATGTTGGACTTGGAAAATACTTGCAAGGAAAATAACGGATTTACAGTTTTACAAAGCCAGCCACTAGGAGCAGATTTGTACAAATTATGCATCGCAAAGTTCAGCTCTCAGCTGGCAAAAGTTGTCTATTTATTTGTCAACAAGGTGTTTGTACATGTTCTGTGCAAGTGTTGAAACTCTAGGAACAACTGTAACTACGCGATTACTACTTTGACACCAATATGTTACCTTCACAGACCCCAATAAAACAAACAAACAAACATAACAACTTACATCAGGATCTTCACTGGCGATAAAACAGCATAAGGCAAGGGCTGTCCCACACTACAAATACACACAACAATTATGTCACAATCAAAGGAAAGATTTTCATATAACATAGGGTTTTGTAAGAATAAAAATAAGAATAAAAATTCGCCATAGTGAAACCAAATAACCGTTCGATGACTACATGTCATTAATCAAGAGCTTATCACGATAAAAACAATAGTCAAGATTGTAATACTGGTAAGGGAAGAATAAACTAGTCTGTCAATTCATTAATAAGTACAGATGGTGTGAGGTCTGGTTCTAGACTAATAAAATAAGTTTAGCTCTAACCTTCTCCACGTACAACACTAAACAAAAGCAGTGTCCAGGATGGTAATAAGTTTTTTCTCCCTTCCCTTCTCACCATTTTAATATTAAAAATATTGGTGACAGAGGATTAGGGGCATAACGTCTTTTCACCAAATGTCATCATTAAAAAACAATAACTGATCATTCCTTCTTCTTACACTAGATCTAGAAGCTGATGCTGCCGTCTTGTCCTGAATAACAGTGATTAGATGAGGCTTGAGGGTTTTAAACACAACTTGACTTTCAGACCCTGCACCCAGTTGAACGCACAACAGTGCAGCAATGGAAGATGCCAACACACGATCTTCAGGGGTTCCTGAAATAAAAATACTAATGTTCCATTAACCTGTTCTTCACTTTGCCGTACATGTTAGGTTAAACATTTTTTTAAAACCAATTTGCTTTCTTGAAATATCTCCGACTCATATGCAAGCATATAACAAAGTACAAGTATTTAACAAAACTTAAACTGATAACATTCCTTCCTCCCAGTGTACCCAAAAACCTATTAAAACAAAATCATTTAAATTTAGGAAAGTTCAAAAAACCTTTTTCTGAGAAGGAAAAAGCATCCAACATAACAAAGCAAACATCCATATTATCACATATTATCATATCTCTCAGTTAGTACGCGCACTGTGATTGGTCAATTTAGCAGGCCATAATCTACTGTACGGCCTGCTAAAATTAAAACTGTTTTTGTTGCCAAAATGTTTCGTGATTTATTGCCTGTTCTTAACATTTTTAGCAGGTAAAAGTTTAAAACTTTCTTTTACTTCTGAAATTGTGTATTAAAACCTACTAACGATTACAAATTGACTAGTTTAGCTTTGGAGGTGCGTCAGAAATTTGAGTCCGTTCTGTATGAATAGAAATTGCTCCCAAACATGTCAGATGCACAGTAGAGATATGGTAAATATCTTACTAACCTTGATTTCTCGATCCGTACTGTAAGTTATGGATCCTTGTTTTTTTTCCCCTTCGATTTATGGCCCGCGCGCTTCGCACTTGGGCCATAAATCGATGGTGAAAAAACTCAGTCCGTAACTTACAGTACAGCCCTCGAACTTGGTTAGTAAGAGGTATTTATTAGGTTTCAATTAAGCTTAAAAAATTTACAACTTACACAGGGAATTCACCAGCATTTTTATATGTACATAACCATCTGTTTTCTAAACATTAAATCAAGTTCTGCTCATGTTATTTTAAATTAGAGGTGTATAATATAAACAAATATGGAGGCATTTTATTTATAATGGTCAATGGTAGTAAGATTTCTCATTCATCATTTCATTGCGACAACGCTGTTTCGTATGGACAAAGAATGACCACACTTATCAGGCAATACTGACGTATCTTAATATTGCAAGATACGTTAATATTGGCTGATGAGTGTGGTCATTCTTTGTCCATACGAAACAGCGTTGTCACAATAAAACGATGAATTGAAATCTTACTACCACTGACCATTATAATTACTGCTCCTCTCAGGGTTGAGTGCTCTCAAAGATTTATTCTGTTCAAGTCCAAGAGACATTTTATTTACATATTTATTACTCCTATTCAGCCTACCTCTTTTCACACATTTCTCAATACAATCCAGTATAGTTATTTTCCTGAAAAAAAAAAAATGAACATGAAATGTCAGCATACATTACTTAGTTCATAATAATAACACCGTATGCAGGACCTTGCTAAAAACTATGCTATGCTAAGATTTGAAGTGCATTGCTGCCCTCATGCAGTTACCATCAGACAACACTCTAACAACTTCCTTAAGAGTGCCACCAATTTTTGAGAAATGCTAACATTAGACCTGTTGATAGCCTTCTAGCAGGCTCACACTGGAGCACAAAAGCACGCAGCGTAGCCACGAACGCGAAATCAAGCAGTGAAGCCACGAAATGAGATAGTGAGCCTGCCCTGATCTCTGCAAATTTTTCATTTCCACCCCAGAAACCGCACAAAAAATAAGCCAACTAATTTTCAGCGGAAGTATGAACTTTGGCAGCTCAGATTTCTCAGGAAAATTGTAAATCTTTTTTCATAACAACATGCGGGTACGATATCCATTGTTGAAAAATTTTGGCAAGGAAAAACGGTCAATATGTCTAGCAAGGACACACACTTGATTCCAAGAGATCTTGTTTTGGCAGTCTGGTCTTTGATGACACTGGCAAATGGGCAAATGCCTTTGTGTTGTTTTGTTGCCCTTCTTGTAATCACATACTTTGTAATATCTAACTCTTCTCATATGCAGTCGGCAACACGACAAGTACATCCTGATTCATTAACATACTCTCAAGTGCTATTTCCTGCTCCCTCTGTAGTTTAAATTTTAACCAGAAATCGACTGGAACTTTGTTAAAACATCAGTAATACACCCACTCAAATCTTCCTCTGACTCCAAATGTGGATGAATTTTTTGTTGTTGTGAGAACATGCTGTAAATTACCGACTCCATGGGGATCTAATCACTCCTCATCATATATAATACATTGACAGTTTTCTCGCCTTTCCCGCTTTTCAACCAATGGTATTTCACTTCACTCAGGCGAAGCAGAAATTAAAAATTACAGTGATCAAGGCAGGCTCACTTTCTTGGCGCCTCTTCACCAGACTCCTTCCCACCGGATCACTTTGCTCTCTGCTCACGCGCGTGACTCAAAGCTGAGCCTGCTCGCAGGCTAAGCTGTTGATGCACAACAGAATACCTACTGGAGCACCAACGGAGATCTTTTCTTTTACATTTAGAAGGCACTAGGTAAGTGCAATGGACTCTGGACGGATTGGTCTAGGTTTAAACAACACTGTTTATTAACTATAACAGTGCACTGAAGGTTATCCCAGTCCCCTCCCCATCCCCTAAGTATTCCCTCAGTTTGTCCTAACAGTGTAACAGCAATAATGACACTGACCAGGGATCAAACACAAACCAAGAGACCTCTAAATCCAAAATCCTTTGTTATTATATATACTGGATTGATATTAAGTTTGTGTTTGCTGAGAAACCTTGTTATATGTACAGTATCAGTCATACCCCGTTTTAGAGTACAAAATTATACTACAACAGTATACTAACCTGTCTGAGATAAATTCACTAACAATCCTTGACTTCAAAGCTTTCTGGACAGCAATCAAGGCACACTGCCTTTCCCTTGAACTGCAATAATAAAAATTACATGTACTTTATATCTATATTTCAACCCAGTTTCATCCTTCTACCATTTACTGTAAAAAAATAGACAAAACAGGAGAGCCATCAAAATTCAAAAGTATTGTTACACATTGCAATAGAGGTACATGTAAGAAGCAATGTAACAAAGATCCATTGATTTGTTGAAAAGGTTATGCTATCAACAGACTAACGACTCGCTTAAATGCCTATGCTCACTGCCTCAGTCTGTTTGACAAATTGTTTAAATACTACCAGATTTGTTTCATATCTTGAAATGTAATGACTTGCCAGATGTTTGTTGCTTAGTAACTGTCAGCCAACCTTTTTTTAACCCAGCACTCGATTGTTGACCAACAGATCAGTGTCCACACAAACACAATACTAAACAAACAAATGGGAGTTATTGCTTTTTTTAGTGTTGTTTTTCTTTAGTTCACTTCCCTGTTGTTTTTTCTCTCTACCCTTTTTGATGTGTACAAGTAATGTCTATTTTTGTGGATGATGTATAGTTTGAATGTCCCAACACAAAACAACAGTCACTTTTGTTTACAACTACTGGGGTATGAAAATGCTGAGTAATGTTATTGTGACCTCTATTACATACGTAAAATATCTTTTTTACGTATTACATTCAATAATGACCTGTGATGCAATATCAAATTGCAGGGAAAAAAAATGTAACGTTATACAACTTTGCTGTTAAAATCCTACTAACAGAAAAACCTCATTTGTTAATGGACTTATTCAGTTCTCAGAATATTATATTCTATTTTCAGTTTTATTTCTGTTATTAATGATTAAGAGGGAAAAAAAAGGAAGAGAATTATTGAGCTTACTTAAAGTATATTTCAAGTTAGCTTAATTAATTATCTTCCCTTCTCTGAAGTCTATTTTTCTGTAGCCTCGTGCTCCACTCACAGGAGCGAAGAGGATGAGTGAGTGAGTGTGAAGTATATTTGAAAGAAAACCAAATGTACACAATATATCCTTATCGATAATCGAAGCACACCCTAAGTACATTACATCACGTTTTTCCCCATACTGAAGTCCCATATTATACCGGCTAAAGTACAAAGATCTACCAACCAACAACTAGAAATCAGACAAGATGCAGAAAAAACTGCATCGCAGAGAGGAGCAACAAACATGGAAACGATGCGTACCTTCTTTGAGTCGCTCCATCGATGTTGTCAGCTAAAATCTGCTCAAAATCATCTTCTAATTCTAGTTCTCCTCCTTCATCAAAGCCATCAACTGTGGAATAAAAATTAGCATTCAGAGGATCAATGACAAAAAACAACCATTTCAACACGCTATAGCTTCCTAGACGCTACTCGCATGCACGTGTCGAAAGCCGACAAACCTTCGTCTCCGCTGTGAGTTCCTGTAGAGGGATGGCTGGCGATACTTTGGTTCTCTAAATCTTCATCGTCGCTTTCGTCGCCTGTTCTCCTTCCTGAATAGTTAAGTAATACACAGAGTAAAACGTTAAATCGATTGATACAACATTACAGCGATCGGAAACCAAGTGGATAAGTGAATAAAGAATGGGCGCGTAACTATTGATATCCATTAACGCCACCATCGTGTAAAATAAAAATAAAGATCACGCACAGAAAAGCAACTTCTTTAAGGCAAGAATATAGCATTTCAATTAATAATTCTACAAGTACAAACACCCAAACACCGAGGATCAAAACAACAAACATCGCTGTAGTAACACACCTTTCTTCCTTGGCTGTTGTGTACCGCGCTTTCCTCTTCCTTTGCCTTTCGAGTCCCCGTTTTTAGGCATGGTTATTTTCAAGAATCGAGCGTTAAAATTTGTTCCTAGTGTGTTATTTCACGACACAATATGTTTTCTTTCGTATACTTCTTCTTTTTCTGGCAAGAAAGCTATGGATAGATGTGTTTTTAAGCTGAAACCTCCGAAAATTCATTGGGAGAAGAATTTGTACACCTTGACCCAACAAGTGGGAAGAAGAAAATAGCCGGCGATGACGTAAAGATCCCTGAAGAAAAACGTGATCGATGACAAGCCTGCAGAGAAACTCCTAGGGAGGGGAGGGATAGAAATTTGTCTTTCACTCATATCAAAGGAACTAACGGTCGAAAATAACCACATTTCTACCAAAAACAAAACAAACTATTTATAAAAATAATCAAGGAAATTAAGTAATGTATACCTCGGTATTAAGATAGAAAGCAAGGACTACGATAAATGCCCCATTGGGGGTGCCATAGAGTTAAAAAGTATTCCCGATTTTGCCCCAGTAGCACGCGGTTTGTGATAAAGTGTTTTGGAAGCGAAAGACTCGTTCGTCTCTGAATAAAGCGAAAAAATCGTTTACAGTTTTCATCTGGGATGACTGTGTTGGCATAAAATGAATGGTAAGGTGTTAAAGTTTACATAGATTACATTGCAATCCTGTGTTTTACGTTAAAGAGAAAAATCTGCGTGAATTTACAATCAGTATGTCGACATTGTTAGGACGTGGCAGATCGAAAATTATATGGAAGTACTGTTTGCACTCATTACTGTAAACATTATTGTAAGGTTTGAAATCGTAATTAGCCATTTTGGTTTCTCTCTTTGTTCTCTTCTGAGATAAAGGTACCTTATCAAGACCCATTTCGTTCACGCTAACTTACTAACTGTGTAAAATCAGTGCTTTAATTTGGCTTAGCCTGAGTGTGTATCTTGCAATTGTGATTTTGTTTTTACTAAATAAGCATATATTGTCAACCCAAAATCCCATACGAGCGCGTGCACAATTGTTTATTAATTTTTCAAACTGTCCAAATTAATTGTTGATGTAGGTAGTGTTCAAATGAACATTTTATTATATGTCAAACTATTCTCGCATTTTAACTGGTTCTTACTTATGATCTATTGGAGGATGGACACAGAGATTACGTCATTAACAATTTATTGTATAGCATAAGTAGACTCCATCATGCTGGCATCTACATTATCATCTGTTCAGTAATAGGTCACTGATGACATCAACATGTGCTAAGAACCAGTGACACACTCGCGTATTTACCACATTTGGACTTCATCTGTGATCAATTACTGAACAGACACACACATGGAATCTATTTGTTAAAGTTTTTTGGACTGTTTTGTGCTCAGTGAACATAACAGATAATAAAACTGCATCCCAGTCTAATTTGGATGTAGTTGTGTGGAAAAAATTCCTATTACTGCCAAATTGAACATCAGTGGCTTGCAGCCTTGTCCAATTTTGAAAGTCCTTTAATTAAAAATACTTTGTCCGTTTCCAAATTGGATGGTATGTAGTTATATTTCATCTACTAAAAACAACTAGATTAAAACAGTGTTATCTGTTATCTGACATTTTACTTTCATTGGTGAATATGGATACTAAAAATCAGTGGCGGATCCAGACTTTGAGCTAATGAGGGGGGGGGGGGGGGGACGGTTTTGTTTTACTTGCCTAGAAAATGGTTCTCCACATCTCCATATCAATTGAACTTTTGACACTGTTTCAAAGACAAATCTGTTGGGAAAATTATTTTTCAACAAATCCTTTCAATATGTATTTCAGTGACATAGCTCATCATATATCCTGGATACTAAAGTCTTGTTTATAAATGCTATCAAACTAGATCAGAAACAAAGCAAACTTAGGATGATTATTGAGAAATCTCTGTGAGGACAATCAATTTCAATGTAGTGAAAATCGAACCAACTTAGTCGGAAGGAGACAAGTGAGAATACTGATTCTGCTTTTAACTCCATTACTAATGATATCTAGTGAAAACTAGATTATCAGAGTCACAAGCAGAAATTTCTAACAGTAAGATTGATTGGTTCTCCTGCCTCTGCTTCCAGTTACGACAATCTAGTTTTTAACTGGGTCTTAAGCAAAGGAGTTGAATTGTTAAGGTCTGAAATCATAAAAAGTTTAGCCAATTTTGTCTCTCTCTTTCACCTTTTCTGATGAGTTGAACTGAGTTGAATGGTTGCAGTGGAATTGGAAGAAAAAGGAAATGACTCTAGTTCCCTTAAGACTCCAATTACATGTACATCTCCAATTCCATTGCTAGTGAAAAGCAGCCTTAAGGAGTCACCCATTTCTGTCACTGAGTAATGTTTTACCTTTTTTTTTTCTTCAGTGTATTCATTGGATGGTGTGTTAGTCTTAGCCCTGTTGGTGGTCTGTACTTGTGCCTACATAACAAAAGTTCCAAGACTAAAGTCCTTCTTTCTCTCTGAAAAGAAGGGTTTCTTTGGAGTATTTTATAAAGGTAAAATAACATGACAATTTTTATTCACTCTATAACCATCTTTATCAAAAAATAAGTAGTCTTCCAAACTCTTTAGTTGGCCAGTCTTGTTAAGTAAAGCTGAAATTTCTTATAAAATTATTGACAATGTTATCAGACAGTTTCTAGTTTTGTCATTTAAAGCTCAGTTCAAAAGTTGTGCTTTTAAGCACAACATTCTATGACAAAGAAAACAAGCAGTGACAACTTCAGCCTTCCATTGATTCTGTTTACTTTTCCTTGTCTTATAAATGAATTCATCTGGAAAATGGAACAAATTGTCACTTTAACAACAGCTTTGAAACTTGCTCACTTACAAAATAATAGAAAAAAACAGGGTTTTTATGTACCAAATTTATGCCTACGCAATATACAGGAAGAATTAGAAAATGATTTGCTGTTTCCTCCATAAAATTGAATTGTTTTTATGTTTGCTGACATGAAGTTAAAGAAAATTAACAATATTGAAATGCTCAGGAGAACAGAACTAATTGTGTCTCTTGGAACCAATTGTGTTATGTTGTGTAGGTACAACAATTCAGGTGCTCTTTTTTCTATTTTGTAGGTATGTACTCATTGGCATGCACTAGTTATTTACTCTGTTTACATTCAATGTGCTTCTTCTGTAATAATTGCACTGAAGAAGGCAGGAGTTTCTACCAAAAGATGTTTGTAAAGTTTAAAATTGTAATTTATATATGAAAAAGACAAAATAAAACAAAATAAATTCAACCTAGTTAAAATTATGCCAGTTGAGGGAGTTGAACATGCAAACTAACCACAATATTTTTCCCAATTAAACATAACAAGAACTTCACCAAAGCAGTTGATTCTAATTATAGAACATGGCCTTAGTGTATATTGTTTTCCATACAGTGTATGTGTATAATTTGATTATATTTGTGTCTATCTCCTTTCAGCTGCAGTTATTGGAATTCGTTTACATTGGGCAGTGGCACTCTCATGTGTTTTGATGGCATTGTATGTTCTCATACTCAAGTAATGGAATATAACAAAACTTTGTGGGTATTTAACAGCATAGCAAGGACTAGCCTCAAGACATTTGCAATCATGAAACACATCAAAGGATCACGTTCTCGTCTTTAGGAAACGTTGCAGTGGATACATTTACAGAGTGGATATTATTGCCTGGGATGCTACTTGGAGGAATATTATAGACATTTTTTTAGCTGTGTCGGTTATCAAGTTTAAATTAAATTATTGAAATTCAGTCTCTTTACTAAAATGTGGGAAGCCATCATGAATCTTCTAAGGCATGGGAGACATGTGGAGAAATACATTCTTCCTCTGGGACAGGGCTGACAAATCCAGAGTAATGAATAGGGTTTCATACCTTACTTCCTTTGGAGACAGACTTAAAATGGTTCCCCACACATTATTGCACAGGGTAAGTTAATTTCCTAGCATTAAGCTTTGGCAGTGCTGTCATATAAGGTCATTTGCACGCTGCAGAGAAAAAATGTTTGGAACAGCTTGAATAAAAAAGGTAATGTTCAATGAAAAAGTACTTTTCCAGTTAAGACACATTTTACATTGTAAAAGACTTTGCTATTCTTTCAACGTCCTCCATGCTGAGCCGAAATGTCATTTTGTGCTTGGTGCTGCTGCAAAGTCAATCTGGTAAAAGATATTGAGGATATTACATGACCATGCAGAATACAAATTTTATCTTTGAGTGCTAATGGTATCTCTCACAAGTAACCCCAGGGAACAAGTAGGAGAAATTATTAGCATGAGGGGATAAAATTGGTATAAAATGTTCTCTTAACTGAATAGATATTAATGAAACATCCAAATCTAAGACATATCAGGTTTTTTTTTTTCTTTTTTTTTTGTTCCATTTCACCCAAAAGATGATATTGACACGACAACCATTTTAACAGAACACAAAAATAGAGCAGTACATTTTCTTCTCAAAAAAGAGTCAAATAAGACTTCAGTGATGTTGACATGTCCGACCGAAATATCTGTATCCATGACAACATCAATATTCTCGTAATTGAAAAATATCTCCACTTTGCACAACGAAGAAATCAAATTTTAGGACCAAGAAAAATCCAGGTATTTTATCAATATCTATATAATAAAAATAACATTGATATACAAACCAGAAATGGTGACCCACTCAGCGCAAATGAATTTGTGTTGTAAGTGATTTGTGATACCATAATATTGTGTGGCATAAATAACATTATGTACATAAAATTTAAACAAACATTTTGGGTAATTTTCCTCATTCTTTTCAAGCTGTGCAAGAACTTGACTGTAGTTTAAATGTGTCTGTGTCTCTGTTATTCAATCCAAACCAAATTTTTCTACCTGAATCTGTAAAGAAAATTGATTGCATAGTTACAGAATTAAAAAAAAATGTTGTGTCATACTGGCTTGTTGTTCAAAAGTAGTCAGTATCACCTGAAATGGCTTTGAAGTAGTAAATGTTTGGCACAATTGAATGCATGTTAAAGTCTGCATGCATAAATACAGGAGGTCAAATCCTCAGGGACTTTTGATAGTTTTTGTACAGCACTTAGATCCCTTTGAAGTGGGAAAATTAGTTGAAAGCTATGAATATTTATCTTGTTTAATTGTATTTTATTAGCATAGAGAACTTTAGCCAGGTTTATGTTTGTGTACAAAGTAATCTCCATTTCAATGAATTTAAACAGGAAATTACATGAAATATCCATTCATGCCAGTTTTTGTTTAAAGGGAGAGTGTGGAGGAAATAGTTATATATGTAAGCTGGAAAAAAAACTAATAAAAATCAAACTTGTGGAGAGCAACTAAACAGAAAATCTACAGAACTGTCAATATATTATTACAGGTGTAGATCACTTGAAGTAAGTTTAGAAATCCTATTCATTTTAACTGGATTTCTTTTGTCAGAGATGTCTCACTGTTAACATTTTTTGTGGGGGGGGGGTACAACAATGTAATAACGTGCACTGCATGAAACAAAAAACAAAGAAAGCTTTTAGCTTCAAAATGTCATTTCAAAGACTGTACAAATTCAGTTCTTCAGTTTGTTATGCCTTTCTCCTGGATTCTGATACTGTTTAGGGTTCCATTTCAAATGTCTAATAATCCCTCCAGTTTCTTTTATTTTTATATGGAAGTGTATAGTACTCCCAACAGTACCAAGGGGGGTGAGGTGGGGGGGGGGGTCAGGTATACCGTGCAATAGTTGGTTATTAGTTCTATCCTTAAAACTGACTGTATGGGACATATTCAATATACTTGATAGCTAATAAAGTCCTAATTTGAACTCCCCTGTGATTTTCTTTCTATTTCCTTTGTCTTACAGTGTACTGTCTAAAGCTTCGTAAGGGACAGATCTTTCATTCACAGAGATTCATTTTCTAGTGTAGAACGGACCCATTTAATAAGATCTTTAATCTGGAGCGTGGGGTTACCACTGAGGATGCTTATCGTCCTTTTTAAGGGTTTTACATGTAAATGGTGTTTTGGTGCCTCTTACAATATGTCATATCAAATTTTCACAATCGCCCCTTATTGTGGTATCCCTTGAAGAGCCGCAAACAGACAGGAACTACCTGACACTAAGGTCGTGTTCTATTGGGATCAACCGTTTCAATCGCAACCGGTTTGGGTTGATACGGTTAACGTTTCTCAGTAGAACACTTTTCCAACCGTTTCCGGTTGAAACGCGGTAACTCCTGGGAATAGTCCTCACGCAAGCTACAATTACGCCACATAATCACGCAAATATTTTTTCAACCATTTCAACCTGGTTTGAGGCGGGTTGAAAATGTTGATCAGCCAAACCAACCGAAAACGGTTTTTCCCTAGTAGAACACGAAAAATCCCAACCACCTAACTAACCAGAAACGGTTGATACCAAAAGAACACAACCTAAGAGTGCTAAGTAAATAAGAACCTTATTACACGAAGTAATTTTAAGTTATGCCACTTTCTATTTACTCGACATCTAGATTGCCTTATTTGTTTAAGATATACAATCTCATTTACATTCATGCCACGAGAAAAAACCGAAAACACACGAAAATCAGAAGTCCAAAAATTCCACACAATGAGATAACTGTTCTGTCCCTTTCAATTTCTTCTCTTTTTTAGTGTCACTTGAGCCACGCCCAAAAATATGGATCCTGGTACCTAGATGTTTTTCTTCCCTTGGGAGGGGAGGGAAAGAATTCCATCAGTGCGATGGTCGACTTTTTCACTTTCAGGAGACAAGTTAAGAAAAATCCTCGGTCTGGGTTGAGGTTTTTTGCGGAACTATTAATTTAAAAATATTACCTGAGTTCAAAGAAGTACTTTGCTTTATTCTACTATTGCTGGGTACTGAGACAATAGTAAATCCCTCAGTGTAGCTCAACAATCCTTCAGTCGCGAGTTCCGGTTTCCAAACCAGCAGTTCATTACCGAGTTGTCACAGTTTTCTCTCACTTCACCATGTAGCAAATCACAGTCCATGGTCGCCCATCAATACTGAAATTCCGGGTCCGAGCCCTTTATTGTTGTCAAGTATTACGTAATATTGCCTAAAAGACTCCCCAAGAGAATCCCACTTAGTTGCCTCTCTTCTCCCCTCCCGTGAGCCTCGTAAAGTTCCAAACCCCTTTACTCTGGGTTTTTGCCCACTGCTCCCCTCTAAAACCCCTAGTTATATACTATAAGTTGGAAAGTCATTTCAATAAATCTACTTCAATCGCTCTCTTCATTTTAATTAAACATCGCTGGGCAAAAATGTTGCCAGAACTATCGGGTGCCAGGCCACGTCTGCCATGAGATTAGCAAATGTTCTCTTGGATAGTCTAAGCTGAGTTTTAGCCCTACATGGGGTTGGACGAAAGTTGGATACGTACAAGTCAAGCTTTCTTTCAACTGACCTCTCAACTGACCATATTTGAAATGTTTTCAGTGTGGAAAACTGTCCAACATATGTTGCTTTCTCAACAAGGACCAACACTGAATGTTGCAATTCTAATCACAAACGAGGATGTCAACAGGCCGAGATAAATATTTTGTCGTCTTTTTGTCGCGGCTCAACCCATATCGGGTAGGAAGTTAAAAAAAAATGCTAGCACGGGAGCTGATTAGCCAGGCCTGTGGTGTTTACTGGAAATGATGAAGAGATGTTTCCTCATTTGCAAAGATTTTGTAATGTGGTTAAATGCTTCGATCTGCGTTCATTAATCAGAATGGGTTTCTACATGTATCAAGAGATTATCAAGATATAATCTCTTGGTTTCTACATATTTGTGTTTATGTTTTCTCCACGATTCTGCATCGCTGTTGTAGCATATTTTTAACTTAGCTAATGAAATCCGAATTTCCATTTATAATACACACATTACTCACTCGTAACAATCTCTTATTAGTCTATAAATGATTACACAAAAAGTGCATTGATTACAGCATCAATACAGCGATCATTTCAGCAATTTTCCACAGGTGAAAAAAGTTAATTAAGTGACAGTATTCAAGACGAAATATTTAGCCTTTATAGAAAGAAGCTTTTTACCCGTAAATCACTTGTCTTTCGGAAGACTTGAAAGAAAGATTCGAACGATAGTATATAGAGATTGTTTACTGACACGAGGGAAATTTAGGGCCATCTCAAATTGTTTGGTTTCCCGCAAACCGACCGACCCACTGACCGATCCAAAAAGTACTGAAGAGAAAACAATTCCCCGATTCAATACCTGTTGTCTTTTCTATAGTCTTGCTGAAGTATTTAATAGAGACCGAATTAAATGAGAAACCACCTCAAACACAGACCTTAGCCTGTATTTTTCTAACATCGGTGAAGGCGCGAGGAGTAAAATGAAACCCCCGCGTGATTGAGTTTCGCGCTGGCTTTTTACGACGAAAATTGAAACAGATAAAGAACCGGCTGTGCGCAGATCTTGCTTTACTGTACAATATCAAGATTTCTATGACATTTCCAGATAGTCTTATTAATAGCTTTTTCTCTTTCTCGAGATTTGTTAAATATTCATGTCTTTATATTCTGTGGTCCTCTTTATTTTCCAACCTTTTAACGCTAGACTAAACTTTCTCTTGCTGTTAGACACGGTATTAAAAATACCGTTTTTAATAATTTAACTTTAAGTAGCGTATTACTGAAACTACATGAATCTACAGTCACTGTGGTGATATTATTAAAATTTAATAGTTTCGGAAAATCTCAGGTGGAAGCGTTTACTTTGTCGCCTGAACAAAGACGTTGAAAATAATTAAGGTTGAATTTTTCGTTTTCATTATGTGCACTCCACACCCAGCGTTTTTGAGGGTCGCGCTCGCTCATGCAAATATAAATCGTTTGAAAAAAAATTTACATAACAAGTGTCCCGAAGCAGCTGTGACATCTTTGCTTTTGCTCTTTTGGCAGAATTTCATCAATCTTTGCTGCAATCGCTCACTAATGAAAAACAAAATGTCTGTGGTTGTTTTTACAGGTAAGAGTGTAAATTTCTTGTGAATTTCAGTTTCTGGACAGGAAATAGAAATCCTTTCGTTTTCTATGGATATATTTCGCTTCGAAAAGAAGCAAATGGACCATCGGCCATCTGGATTGCTTTTTGGGCCTTTGTCCCGCCTTTGTGATCAAATGCTCAAACGCCATTGGTGCAGAAGTAAGGTCATAAGAATATAGTAATCAATCCTCAATGGCAACCGCGTTCAAGGCCCGGGATTCAAGCTTACCACGTCTGTTTTCATAATCTTCGTTATTTGCGACCTGAAGACGTTCTTAATCATCTGATTTAAGCCATTGATGCTTTGATATTCTATATCGCGTTTCAAATGCATGGCCATTGGAATGTTTTTCATGTTCCTCATTGCAAAAAGAAGTCCACTGTCTCAGTTTCTCTCTGATTATTATGCAATTTCTCATTACACAGATATGTAGACCCCACGTGTACGTCACCATGCACTGGCTACAAGCAGTTTTCCTAACCGCCATCTTGGATTTCTGATCGTAACAAGTCGATTATATATTTTTCCGGAGGAGGTGGACAAATAATGGTCATGAAGAGGTCTTCTGATTCAGAGACGCTTACGAAGCCGAAACGAATTCGTTCGAGAGAATTCGACGATAACGGCGTTCGCGATAGACTGTCTTCCCCAGACAGCGCGCGGGACAGTGGTTCCCCGATCCGCCGAAGTTCTTCTTTGACAAGAAAGGTCGATGTTAGGACGTATAAACGCAGCTCAAATGTAAATATGCGAACCGAAAACAACTACCAAAACCAGCGAAAGAGAACCGACCGAGAGTCTGAACCCCAAATTCGACTCACAAATCTTGACAGTCATATTGGAGATCAGGCAATGAAACAAGAAATATTCCACGAGTTCAAAAAGTTCGGAGGCGCCGAGATGACCGTGCATTTGTCCGGACGGGATGACGACCGTTATGGAGTTTTGTACTTTCGAAATATCGATGATGCTCGAGAAGTAAAGCGTGCTATTGAGCGCCGTGGACGTCCTACACTGTTTGACCGACCGGTTAATGTAGAATACGATTTTCAAGAAAGGACGTCTCGTCGAAGTTTTAGTCCGAACGAGTACCCGCAGAACTACAATCGTCCGCCGTCTCCTGCACGCCGAACTCAACGAAATACCCCACAGTATGATCTTGATCGAAATCGTGGAGATAATGATCGTAAAAACTTCAAGAGTGGTGGATCGTTTGGACATCAAAATCAAATACGGCCTGCAGAGTACATCCCTCCTGAAGATGACCCAAAAGCTACGAGAACGCTGTTTGTCGGAAACTTGGAAACGAGCATTTCGAGCCAAGAGTTGCGTCGTGCTTTTGAGAGGTTTGGAGTAGTCTTGGACGTGGATATCAAACGACCGGCTCGTGGACAAGGTAACACGTATGCTTTTGTGAAGTTTGCAGATCTTGATGTTGCTGCTAAAGCGAGGGTGGATATGCAAGGTGAAATTATCGGTCGTAACCGCGTGAAAATTGGCTACGGAAAAAGTCAACAAACTACCCGGTTATGGGTGGGTGGTTTGGGGCAGTGGACGTCGATTGTGGAGTTGGAGCGAGAATTTGATCGGTTTGGTGCTATCAGACAGATTGACTACGAAAAAGGCGATGATCATGCTTACATTTTGTACGACAGTTTGGATGCTGCTTCGGTTGCTGCTCGTGAAATGCGTGGATTTCCTCTTGGTGGCCGCGATCGCCGGCTGAAGATCGATTTTGCTGATAAAGATCATTTACAAGACCCGCGTCTTCGGCAACCACTAAGTCCACCGAGAAACCGTATCAATAACCTCGACAGCAGGGTTGATGATGACTTGTTTGCTGTGGAACAGGGAGATAGAACCTACGAAAGTGATCGACTGTACGAACGAAAGCGTGAACCGTCGCCTTACCGTGGCCGTGATTCTCATCCTTCAAACGAAAGTGATTTCAGAAACTGGCGTGAGGAAAGTAATTCTTTCAAACAAGATCTTGGTCGTCAGCATGACCTTCCTCCTCAGAGATCTTTCAGTTCTAACAGTTGGCCAAGGGATGAGCAAAACGTTCGTATTGATGAGCCTGATAACTGGGAAAAGAGGTCTCAAGACAGAAATGCAAGGGGACAGCAGCGCTACAGGCAGCGAGCACCTCCAGTGGAAAATTACCAACCATATGACCATTCACCCATACCTCCAAGAGAGATTGATAACAGCAGAACTGGAAAACGTAGACCACCTTCTCCTATACGGACCAAAGACTACAGGGACAATGGCAGTCCCCCTAAACGTCGTAGAAGCCCAAGAACTAGATCTCCATCTCCTAATCATGCTAACCACTCACGTACAACTTCACCTTCGGATTCTCACCGCCGTTCAAGTTCTCTAGACAGACGCTTCAATCGTTCTCGAGGAGATCGGGGAGATATTTTGAGTACGGGCAATGGTACTGAGCGAAAAAGGAGCAGCCTTGATGATGCTAATGACAACAAGATTTCCAGTGATAAAGAAGATTCCACCAAAGATGTACAACCGAAGGAATCAACTGGACAGGAAAATGAGAATCCTGGCTCTGCTGGAACAGAAACTTTACAAGACCTGGTTAAGAGATTTGCAGTTGCATGGCGTGGCGGACTCATCCTTAAAAATAGTGCATTTCCTGTTCGGATGCATTTCATTGGTGGAAATCCGGAAGTCGCTGACTCATTGCTTCGTTCTGATGGATCTGGATCCTTGCAGAATTCAGTTTTGCGGATTACGCAGCGTCTTCGTTTGGACCAGCCTAAACTGGAGGAAGTAACTCGAAGGATTAACACCGCTGGAGCTAGTGGTCATTGCTTGTTGCTTGCTTTGCCTGGTGTTCAAACACCACTTCCTGAAGATCCAAATTCCGACGAACCTCTGCAACACAGACCATTGAGGAATCTTATGACCTATCTCAAGCAGAAACAAGCTGCTGCAGTTGTAAACCTTCCTGTGACTCCAGGAAATCCTGCAACCACAAAGGATGATGTCGGTGTTTTGCATGCATTTCCACCATGTCAGTTTTCTCATGAGCATTTGGTACGCATCGCTCCACACTTGTCGCCTGAACCATCAAAAGAGGATCATCTGGTCATTCTTGTTATCCGTGGCAGTGGCTGAAAAATAAGTTTGTGCATGGCTTGTGAAGTTTTTGTGTCATTGTTGTATGTTGCTTCATTATCAGAGGACTGGCTTGGAAAAATGTTTGTATTACCAGAAACTCTTGCGAAGTCCTGTCTTCAGTTTTCTCTGGAACTAAAATATGTTCAAAGCGCTTCGTCCACATTTGGATCAAGTTTGTAGCATAATAAACTGTATCAAAATCTCATCATTTTCCCTTGGAACTCTGAAATTTCTCAAAGCTTCTCTGCATTCTGATGTCAGTTCAAGTTGTATATCTGATATATCAGCAAGTCTTGCAGTGTGAGAAGTTCAGTCACCTTAATACATCTGTGTAAAATCATGCAAATCACAAGTGGAAGTTGGACATTGTGTTTATAATATTGGTTCAAATCCATCTTCAAGCAGTGTTCATTAAAATTATGAACTGTGGACTCTTAAATTGTCAATCGTAATTTTTTTTGGTCAAGAACAAAAGGATGGTGGAAAGATTTCATCTGTGGATTATGCTGGGATCACTGATCTTACTGAACAGAATGAATAACCAAATCTGCATCTGTTTCGATTTGATTCTCATCATTGAGTTATAGTTTACATGATCAGGAGATATTTCGGTATAACTGAAAAGCCAGAGATTAGTGACCTGCATTCCCAACTATTCACAGGTGAAGTCCTTTCATAGTAAACTGAACAACAAAGCATATCAGCCTCTTAGAAGCAACAAAACTGACAGTCATGTGTATTTTAATTGGTCAAACTGCCAAAGAAGTTTGTTTTTATTATATGTATAAGTGTAAACTCATACTCAACTTAAGTGGTCAAGTTTATCATTAGCAGGAAAAGGTGAAAATATGAAGACAAACAGTCTCTACAGTCATTCAAGGTTTTGGTAGATGTAGTTTGTTTATAACAATTATATCAATGTTGCATGGTATAGGAATTGAGGCTACAACCTCTTTCATCTGTATCTCATTGGAGCCATGTGGAAAGTGTGACCTCATTGGTTCATGTACGCTTGGCATATTCACATACTTTTTAATTCTTGACTGTAACGTTAAATGGAAATACGTTGTTCATTAAACTGATTATGAATGAGCATTGTTTGGATACTTGTGGATTCTCTTTCTTCAGCCAGGAAACTATAAGCTCTGTGGCTACTGCACCATTTTCATGGAACATATACAAATTGTCTTCCATCGTTATAGTCTAAAGAATACCAGCAACTCATACGTTTGAGTTGTTCATCGAAGCAATACTTTAATGAAGAGTCATGATTACCTCTGCAACTTATATCATCTCGGTTTATCTTTTGCAATCTGGATTTTGCTGTTTCCTGAAGAGTGGAGTACTTATCATTAGTGTCATTACTGCCAATTATTTACTGTAATTTTTACATGCTCATGGAAGCCTGCAGTGATCATTTGATGATCTTGAAACATATTTAGATACCTTGTGGTTAGTAAATACCACATGTACTTCTTGAAAAGAAGTTCAAAAAAAGTAATTGAAAACAGTCTGGCAGGACCAGAAACAAAGATGGCATGTGACTTGAAGATTGGGACATCGGAATGTCAATACAGCAACATTTACTACAAGGAAGCTTGAAATCAGAGTTCAAAATGCTGTTTTTAAAGACTCATTAAAGATTGAAGTGAACTCAAGAGAGTTTACATTGTTAGAAAATAATTTTGAAGTTCACACTCAAGTCATTGTGACAACAACGTCCTTGGAGTGCGAAGGGGTGTGGACAAAGGGCAGTGCCCCCTCCCCTTGCCTGCATCTTCCTCAAAATAATTATAATTTACTAGTGAGGGTACAAGTTGTTTTTCAAAGGGATGGTTTCGTGGCTTGGCACATGTGCAACAGGCTACACAGTTCCATTTTTATATTTTTTGGTTTAAAACAAAGCAAAACAATCAAATTTAAGGAAATTTTCCTTTACAGTCAAAAATACCGCTAGAGGTAAATGTAATCTAGAACTGTTTGCTGGTTTCAATCTCCGTGCAAGAAGACATCTTGTTAGGATTGAATAATGTGACATTCAATACTAAATTTGTGGACATCTGTGAAGTTTGGGCATCAGTCACTGCACAAATTTGTCTGGATGCAAAACCACTTGTTTGTTCACAAGGCTCTCTGGTGGTATTATGAAAAGGAAATGAGTGGTGAATGGAGAAATCGTTTAAGATGCATGACACTTGCAGTTAAATAACTTATAGGTTGATACTAAATCAAAATATCGAAAAGTGTCATGAAAGTCTGAAGAAACAGACCTTTTGGGTGTATAACCCTTCTTCAGTGTTCAGAAAACTGTTATGCCGTTGTGAAAATGAAATTTGAGATTCAAGAATGCTAGGTTAAAATTTGCAAGGGATGTTACAACGACATAATCCCAGTGAAAAATGCAGAAAAAGGTTGCTTTTCAGAAACAAATAGCATTGAAAAGTTGTCTGTACATTACCCTGTGGGCTTGGCAAAGTATTTCAATCAGACTTCNCAGAAATGAGTGCATTAAAATAACCCACACATTTCTGGTGAAGGATGTTGTTTAAAGAAGTTTGCATGGTGAGCAATATAACACTTTCACATGCTTTTTGACTGTCCCCTGACGCGCGTCTCTCATCGAAAATCTTAATTGTATTGACAGCATTTTGCCAATCCATTCTATATTTACTGTCAGTCCTCAATAAAGAGATAAACCTTCCATCTTTATTCATTGTTCACTGTTTTGTCTCTCCACATTTTGAGATCATTATGTGGTACCCAAGACGAGGCAAAATAACATTTGTCAATTTCCAACTAGGTTCTTGTACCTTCAGTCACTCTGAGGGGGTGAAGGTCACTTGGTGTTCTGTTCGTCAGATGAAAGGTCTTTTGCGCATTCCAAATCAAACGGCCAAGATTCACTGGCAATGCCACCTGACAAGAAAAGCAAGAAAACAATGTCATGAGAACAGCAAGTTGAAAAACCTCCATAGGAATCACATTGTAACTAGCATTCAAGCCCCACAATAGTGAAGACTATGTTTGACCCTCAGATGCAAAGATCTCCAGGAAATTTTGATTTAAAAAGTTTATACTCACCTTAGAGTTCCCAGAAGGAATAATTTTACGAAGAATCTCTCTGTCTTCCTGCAATTGACTAAATTCTGTTTCCAGATCCTGCAAGGCAGCGGCACTGCTACAAAGGTCTCGCACAACATCTTCCTGCAGATAACGACGGAGACGCCTGCCAAGAAAAGAAGGGTGGAATGTTATTTTGTACATTTCTGACTGGCAAGTAGTAAATGCTCTATGTATAATGTGGTTTATTGCTTATTGTGAACCGAAAAAAACAAATTATACACCTTTTTAAGGAAGCTTTATGAGAAAATCTTCAATAAAAAACCCCTAAAAATAATTACAATACTAGAGGTACATTGCTTTTGTTAATTAAATACCCTCTTAAGAGTAGTCAGCAATAAGGACAACATATCGCAAGGATATTCATGACCTTCAAAGGACTTCCAGGGTACAATACCTCGGGAAAAAAAGGATTGGCAATGCTACTCACCTCTCATTGGAGCAGTCAAAGTGGAACTTCTTTTCAAAAGCAGAATTGGTTGGCTTTATTGTAGGCATGTTCTGGAATTCGATAGCAGCACCATCCATTCCATCCTCTCCATATCTCAACTGGATCATCTGATTGTTGGAGTTTCTGATTGTGCCGTCATATGCAACCATCAGACCCTCCATGGCCTTGACCAAACGTCTCTGGATGTAACCTGTACATGAAAAATAAAATAAACTTGTTATTTCCACTAGTTAATAAATTTATTTATCCCTATGAAACCGAAATGTTAACAACNATCATTATGTGGTACCCAACACGAGGCAAAATAAAATCTGTCAATTTCCAACTAGAATCTTGTACCTTCCGTCACTCTGAGGGGGTGAAGGTCACTTGGTGTTCTGTTCGTCAGATGAAAGGTCTTCTGCGCATTCCAAATCAAACGGCCAAGATTCACTGGCAATGCCACCTGACAAGAAAAGCAAAAAAACAATGTCATGAGAACAGCAAGTTGAAAAACCTCCATAGGAATCACACTGTAACTAGCATTCGAGCCCCACAAGAGTGAAGACTATGTTTGACCCCCAGATGTAAACTAGGTCTCCATCAATCAATGTAGGAAATTTTGATTTAAAAAGTGTATACTCACTTTAGAGTTCCCAGAAGGAATGATTTTACGAAGAATCTCTCTGTCTTCCTGCAATTGACTAAATTCTGTTTCCAGATCCTGCAAGGCAGCGGCACTGCTACAAAGGTCTCGCACAACATCTTCCTGCAGATAACGACGAAGACGCCTGCCAAGAAAAGAAGGGTGGAATGTTATTTTGTACATTTCTGACTGGCAAGAAGTAAATGCTCTATGTATAATGTGGTTTATTGCTTATTGTGATAAACCGAAAAAAAAACAAATTATACACTTTTTCAAGGAAGCTTTATGACAAATTCTTCAATAAAACACCCATAAAAAATAATTACAATGCTAGAGGTACATTTGCTTTCATTAATTAAATACCCTCTTAAGAGTCGTCAGCAATAAGGACAACATATTGCAAGGACATTCATGACCTTCAAAGGACTTCCAGGGTACAATACCTTGGAAAAAGGACTGGCAATGCTACTTACCTCTCATTGGAGCAGTCAAAGTGAAACTTCTTTTCAAAAGCAGAATTGGTTGGCTTTATTGTAGGCATGTTCTGGAATTCGATAGCAGCACCATCCATTCCATCCTCTCCATATCTCAACTGGATCATCTGATTGTTGGAGTTTCTGATTGTGCCGTCATATGCAACCATCAGACCCTCCATGGCCTTGACCAAACGTCTCTGGATGTAACCTGTACATGAAAAATAAAATAAACTTGTTATTTCCACTAGTTAATAAATTTATTTATCCCTATGAAACCGAAATGTTAACAACCCAACAACTAAACTCATAACAGACAAAACTGTCAACTAAATAACCTGGTCTNATTTACTACAAGGAAGCTTGAAATCAGAGTTCAAAATGCTGTTTTTAAAGACTCATTAAAGATTGAAGTGAACTCAAGAGAGTTTACATTGTTAGAAAATAATTTTGAAGTTCACACTCAAGTCATTGTGACAACAACGTCCTTGGAGTGCGAAGGGGTGTGGACAAAGGGCAGTGCCCCCTCCCCTTGCCTGCATCTTCCTCAAAATAATTATAATTTACTAGTGAGGGTACAAGTTGTTTTTCAAAGGGATGGTTTCGTGGCTTGGCACATGTGCAACAGGCTACACAGTTCCATTTTTATATTTTTTGGTTTAAAACAAAGCAAAACAATCAAATTTAAGGAAATTTTCCTTTACAGTCAAAAATACCGCTAGAGGTAAATGTAATCTAGAACTGTTTGCTGGTTTCAATCTCCGTGCAAGAAGACATCTTGTTAGGATTGAATAATGTGACATTCAATACTAAATTTGTGGACATCTGTGAAGTTTGGGCATCAGTCACTGCACAAATTTGTCTGGATGCAAAACCACTTGTTTGTTCACAAGGCTCTCTGGTGGTATTATGAAAAGGAAATGAGTGGTGAATGGAGAAATCGTTTAAGATGCATGACACTTGCAGTTAAATAACTTATAGGTTGATACTAAATCAAAATATCGAAAAGTGTCATGAAAGTCTGAAGAAACAGACCTTTTGGGTGTATAACCCTTCTTCAGTGTTCAGAAAACTGTTATGCCGTTGTGAAAATGAAATTTGAGATTCAAGAATGCTAGGTTAAAATTTGCAAGGGATGTTACAACGACATAATCCCAGTGAAAAATGCAGAAAAAGGTTGCTTTTCAGAAACAAATAGCATTGAAAAGTTGTCTGTACATTACCCTGTGGGCTTGGCAAAGTATTTCAATCAGACTTCTCAGAAGATAGCAGTACTATGCACTACTATCTAATAAGATACAAGAAACAAAATATAAGTTTCAATCCTTAGCTGCAAATATAGAGGTCATATAAATTATTTGGACCAAGATAACTATATTCAAGAGCTATATATTCTCTTGTGGGGTGGGGGGGAGGGGAACTTATCACAAGGATCTGAGATTAGGGGAGGGGGCCTATTTTCAGACAAGGAGCTTACTCATGGTTGCCACAGACATCCCTTTTCAAAATTCCCTGACCTTGAATAATTTTCTTCCCCCTACCATTTCTTGACTTGTGGCAACCCCGTTATTGGAGCTTCAAAGTATTCTCCTGTTTACCTTTACAACTGGTCAAGCAACATATCACTTCAGGGTAGTTTGGAATTCAACATAGTTTTTATTAAAACAGCAATATCAATTACAAAATACATCAGTTTCAAAAACTGAAAATCAGTATACAAAGAGCCCAAAATGATCTTCAACTTTGCCTTAAATTTTGCTTTTGCTAGCAATTGTTAAGCCTCAAAAACAGGTATTCCCTTGGGAAACCTTGCTTCCTTCACAGGAACATGAGAGACACATCAAGTTGAAAAATTCCTTTGATAACATACACTACCGCAACTGTGCAGTGACCAGTCATGGAAATTTTGGGTCTGTCAAACCTTAGGTGTGCAAGGTCCTGAGGAAGACATGTTTTCCAGAGCAAAAAATAAATATGCAGATCATGCTTGTTAAAGATTACACATCAGGTTATCTATGAAATATGACACTATTCATAATAAGTTCACAAGGAAATAAGTTTTGAATAGTGACCAAGCTGAGCTCCTTAGTGTTAAGCTATTACAGTGTGCAGTAACTTTGAAAAAACTCTTGAGTGTTTCCATTTCTACCTAAACAAAATGTTCCGTATATTACATCCAGAATAGAACTTTAAAATGACAAACACTACAGAGCAACCAGTAGAGAATGTACTGTATCCAACATTAAATGTGTAAATTCATTCGTCAAGCAAATTATCAGGTGTTCTTTAAGAAACCAGAACAAATTGCCTCTAGAATAACAAATTAACCTCTATCCAGTGATGAGTTTCCAATATTATATTAATCACAACTGTAACAAAATATTGTCAAAGCCTTTCTTTTTAGAAACAACTAAGAGAAAAAAAGCCACTCATAAAAATGTTTTGGTCCAGTTTTTGGCCTCATCCACACTAAGCAGGAGAAATTTGAAAACAGCATTTTCACTCTGAAAACACATCTGTTTTTGGTCCACACAGAAATGGCAGAAACGTTTGAACACATCCTCAAGCATGTGCAAAATAATAGTCTAATGCCACCATTTTGGAATTACGTTTGAAGACTTGGGCAGGAAAATAAAATGACTATCGTGATGTCATCATTTTCAAAAAGTTCTGTTTTCAAAATGTTTTTCATCCACATTACAACATAAGGCTGGTGTTTTGAAATTCATACAGTCAGAAAACATTTTGAAAAGCTCTGTTTTCGATGGACAATTTTTCCAGATTAGTGAGGATGGTAGATCTAACCTTAAAAAAGTTGTTTCAAATTTCTCCAGTGTAGTGTGGCTGGGGCCTAATCTTGTCAAAACTCCCTTGAGTGTAACATATACATTACAGACTGTTTACAAACTTTAACATAACAAAAACAGATTTGTATTTGTTCAAGAATCTGTACAAAATAATTCTTTCAAGATATTATCAGATATGGCCCACGCCTGAAATCCTGCTACTGTAATAAGTTTCTAATGGAATATGTAAATATTGATTTGAACAAGCCCTTATTAAACCCTTCTTTGTAGAAAACAAGTTGCTAATATATAAGTGCAGCAAACATGCTAAATAAAAAGCTAATTATGTAACCTAGAGCTTTACAAATGTCACCGTCCCTTGGTGTAACCTGGGAACAAATGATTGAGAGCTGCATCCAAAAAAGTATTCATTGTTAGTTTGTAGTTCTTCCCAAGCTCAGCACGACAGGCCGGACAACAATACACCTCAGCTTTAAATGAACGTTGAAGACAACTCTGTGTTGCAGAAAAAGATACGAGAATTCATATTAGCAGGGGTAATAATAGCATCATGCTCTATTATATTCTTTGTAGTGCTAGTTTTAAAATCCATGTCTAGTCCTTGACATCTCATTTTTCCAAAATATGCTTCAGGTTTGCATGTGAATTTATAAAGAAATGAAGGTTGTGGTTATTTTTAGATAAATAATTGACTCCATATTTTGTTTGCTTGGCTGCAACTTACTGCACAAGTCCAGTTATTGTTACTTTGACAAAACATTAGGTGTCTCGAAGATTTTCTTTGAAAGAAAAGATGGCAGATGTCAAGCCTGGTTTAAACACCATGAAAAAATATCACTCCAGCAAATTCAAACAAAGTACAAAGAAAAAGAATCAAGAGAACTCAGAATTCTCTCGGAGTGTATGTGTACTGCTACCTCTTGACTGTATATCTTTGTCAAGCATTGGGTTTGTTCCATACAGAGGTATACTAAATCAGAACTTGGTACAATCTCAAACATGACCCCAATTTAACAAACAATACATGACTATTTATAAAACAAATCATGAAACAAGCCAGTAATTTCCACCAAGATATTAACTACTGTCAAGATATTTTTACGCATCTAGGCATGACAGCCATGCATTAGTTTCACAGAGGGGACCAGGCAGAGGGTCAGAGTTTACGTTTTTACACACAAAGAACACATCTCACCTTGCAAATATTATGAAGGCATTTTGTGGTTATAGGTTGACAAACAACATCTTGACAACAGATGCATGTAAATGCCTCCTCCACTTTCTGAATAAATGTCTACAAATGGAAGAGGAATGTTATTCATGTAATTGTTTACTACCAAGTAGGGATTAATTAACAACATGAGATTATCATTGCACAATCTAGGTTCACGGTCTCATTTCCATGCAGTCAGCTATCTTTGTTTGTGCATACTCCTCATTCCAATTTGCTTCCCCTCTCTCCCTACAGGGTTGCAAAATCGTCACTCTTGTAATCAATAAACAGATTTTTGGCACAAACATGTCTCCTACTCATTCTGTGTCTCAGTATTGAGGGTAAGTAATTTTGAGTTTTGATTGTATCAAACACATTCTTTGTTTCTAAAGTTTATGCAACTTCAATATAAATCAATATTATTGTCTTTTATGACATAAACAAAATTTTAATACTAATTCTGCTGCAATTATGAATCCAAAAAGAGGCAGGATGGTATCAGAAATGGCATAATACGAGACCACTAGGAGTATGTCTACTCCAAAGTGGATGGAATGGTTTTGTGGGGGCACATATGGTACACCCCACCCCACCCCACCCTCTCTCTGTCCTCCTCCAAAAAAGTCGTAACCTTTCAAAAGTAGGAAAGTGTAAAGTCTGCATACAAACCTTATGTCCAGTCAGAATGGGGATTTTTTCTGGTTTCCGAAGCATGAAACAAACAGGAGAATTGCTACTCCCCCTGGATGGGATGCTAGTCCATCACAGGGTTACCCCCAGCATTAAATTCAGCAGTACCCATTTATACATATGGGTGGAGAGAGGCACTGTGAGAGTGAAGTGTCTTGCCCAAGAACACAACACAATGTCCCCGGCCAGGGCTCAAACCTGGGCCACTCAATCCACAGTCCAAGGTACTAACCATCAGATCAACGAGCCTTCCACCAGAAAGGAAAAGGCTACAAGAGGCTGCAAGTACCAAGGGTTATTACTTTTGGATCTTTACAGATGCCTATAATTATATTTAAAGAATTTGATCCTGCACTTTGTTAATTAATTTCAATTTCCTAGGGTCAAATCCCTGTTAATCCAGTCACCAACGCACCACAAAAATCTGGTCATATCAATGGGGTGGGGCTATTAAAGGGGTTCTTTAAATAAGAAAATGACCAACTGAGGTTTTGTTGGGATCAGACTAAAGTGGCTGTAATAATGAGGTGGCTGTAAAGTAGGGTTCCACTGTATTGTATATTCATAAAGTACGTATAGGAGAATCTTTGTTTACAATATTTGCCTCATTACCATAGCCGATAAAGTTTCTGATGGAGCTACAAAGAGATTAATACTGAATATTGAAAGGGCACAGCACAATTAACTGTCCCAAGGAATTTGAGCGCAATGTATTGAATACTTTTTGTGCGACCCGGGTTTAAAAGCTCAAAATTTTACAAAGAATGTAGGAGCTCATTAGCTCTTTTGCCACACAGAAATTTTGATGTTTTTGAAAGCCCATTTCTCCTCAAATATTACACCCAAAAAGCCAAAAATTTCACCACTTACTAAGTTTAACAAGCTCTTTAAGTTTTTCTCGTAAAATCGTGTCTAGCATGATGCCTTCTGTGCACAAAGTCGTGTGTTAATGAGGAAAAATGTAAACAATGAGATCAGCAAAGATTCGCCTATAGATAAAATAATTACTGGGTAATCATGTAATCCAGTTGTCACTTCACTCCAGAGCTTTGAATTTGCTGTATCAGCATCAAGCAATTCCTTAGTCTTCTCGGGTAACTTGTAACTCCTTTTCTTGGTTGGAGGCGACTTTTGAGGACTATCTACATCTTATGAAACATAGAAAATATATCATTGAGAAGTTGATGTGCACTTTACATAAAATGTCTCCAAACATTATATTTCTGACACATTTTGTTGCATTGCTGTGTTTGTCCCTTGTTTTACAAACACTAGTGGAAATCCTAATAATTCTAAATGCGATCAAGTATCTTTTAGGATCTCCAAAATATCTTTGACAAAATTACTGGCATACAAAATTAATAATCAAATCAAAACTGATATTAAGTTGAACAAACCTTCATCTCGTTTTCTCTTTCCTTTTCCTTTTCCTTTCCCGGCTTCTTTGTCCTGGTCTTTTTCTTTCTCTTGTTTCTTTTTTTCCTCCTCTTTCTTGGCCTGTGCCTCCAGATATCCTTCTGGGTACTACGTAAATTTACAAAGTTCAACCTCATTTTTAAAACAAAGGGACCACTTAAAAGTTGAGCGTAATGGTCAAAGATTTTGCACAAACTTTGGCAGTCGTATTATTTACCACAGTGGTCAGATTAAATAAAATGCTCTACGCTTGCCAAACCAACGAACTTTCGTATAAAAAATTAATAAACATAAGACAACACTTAACTTGCAACTTTTCAATTGTGTCTTTATATTTTTGTTCTGGCACTCACTCAAAAAAATAATACAAACAAAACTTGAATAACAATAGAAGCCAGAAACAGACAATTGTATTTAGTCTATTTAACTAGCAGACAACTGAAATGGCAGCCATTTTGAATTTCATTGTTTAGCTATTATGGGATGCTCAGGAGACAAATTAGTGTGTATTTGCTCCCTAAGCAACCCATAATAGCTATTTGAAGCCATGGAATACAAAATGGCTGTCGCATGGGGTAAAAAGGTCTTAACTTTTTAACTTAACTCTATTAACTTTGATCTGCACAAGATTCTTGCATTTTTTTTTCAGGTTTTGAATGAAGAACTCATTCCACAAGTTTGCTATTTTATACAAATATAGCTCTTGACAATCATCTCAACCTATCAATAACTAATCTTCCTGAACATCCCATTTAGACAATAAGTCAAACAAATAATAATGAAAGTATTATTTTTTTAATGTTCTCTTACCACCATCTTTAAACCCAGCTCTTGTATCTTTTTCTTTCCTTCCTTTGTCCAAGGTGCAGGTGTCTGAATAAAACATTGAAAGTAAGGTGGAAATCAAACTACTGGGTCTGATTGATTTTTGTGAACTATGGAACATGAGCAAAAACGGCCCAGCAAAATCACTATAAAAATGTCAACAAAATTGTTCCTTTGACAATTGGTTTACAGATTTTGACCAATTTTTCTTATGCCAATCAGTTTTTTTTTCCTTCTATTTTTTGTCTTTTAGGAAACAAAAACAGGTGGACTAATGGTGTCCATCCTCACCTCTGTGAGGATAGGTAATTGTTGCAATAACATAATTGTAGTAATATAAGTCTTGCGACTGTCACGTGTTAATCAGTCATTAGCTCATTGCTATTACAGTCAAGTTCAACTCTGTTACCCTAATTCCTTCCCGCCCTTTATGGTATTGGAGTGTTATTGTCAATCTAGTTTGGTATCCTCTTTGTAAATTATGACAATAAACTAAACTCCTGGTCTCCAAACTCATGTGCATACATCCCAGCCATTTTCCAAAAAAAAAAAACATAGGAAAATAGGAGGAAATTAGCAAGAATATAGGAGATATATAGGATTTTAGGACAAAATATAGGAGTTTTATAGGAGGATTTTCAGGCACTCACAGATGAAATTCTTAGGTTGAAACACAATTTAATGAGTCTTGCATCATTTCTGAGACTGTATTTACATGTATTTGAAACTAAGACACTAGTTTATAATGTGTTCATTGATAAGACAATTTGCAAACAAAAGGAAACAGTGGTTGTAAACAGTCACATGATCACCCCTTACAATCCCCCAATAAGTCAACCACTTTCCAGATGTTCAATATGTTACTATATATATAAAGAGGTGCCACATTTTGAATGAGAAACATTTAACACTTTCATTACATCTATGACCAGATCTCATTTCAACACAAACAAGGTTTTTAATGACAACACCAATATGACTGCTTTTAACAGTTGTTAACTGTAAGAGGGCAGGCTCCCAACTTGAAGAGTACCTAAAAATTTAGAATGAGCTCATGAAAAGTGGATAAAGATAAACAGTCATGAAAAGTCCACTTTTGTGGTGAACTTTGAGTACACATAAAACTGCAGAAGTGTCTAGTAAATGTCCAAGTCACAGTTTCAAATCTTTCACATTGGCATTCATGATTTCTTGGATTTTGGATCACAGTTTCTATGTGCCAACCTTCTGGAATGTTTTCTAACTGATAGATTCTTCACTCATCAGCCAGGTTGTCTAGATCAGCACCTACTTTCAGTTCTTTGGCTAGTGTTCTAATTGCCTTCGGGGCCCAATCTTCTGAATGGACATCAGGTTTCAGAACAATGCTGCTTCTCAGAATAAGGTTGTCAAGTGGTAGTTTGTTGACCAGATACTTGGTTGCAGCAATAAGAAATAATTTGGCTCCAAGGACAAACTGCTTTTGCTTTTCTTCTGAAAGCTTCTTAATTTCTTGGTGGGTTTGTTTCCCTATTTCCAATTCTGTGTATGCCAAATGGTTTTCCACGACCTCTAATCGGATCTTTGAGTTTCCTGGCAGCTTTATTTGCCAAAAGTTCTTTTCTGATGAACCTTCCCAAAGGAACTGTCAGAAGACTGCCAAGTTGGTCATAAAGTGAAATGAGAGGCTCTTCAGTCTGGAAAAACTTTAAAAAGGGGTTGAAAATGTCTGCAACAGAGACTAAAAAGTGTATTTGGGCCACCAGATCTTTTGATTCAAGTTGGCGTTAGAGGTAAGGAACGCCAAACCCTTCAGAATTTGATCGACAAAGAAACTTAAAACCCAAATTCTGCCAGTAACGCCTAACAAAATAGTACTTACATCTGGTTACAAATAATGTGAAATAGTCTTATCTTGAAAGACTGCATGCTCCCAGTATCATTCAACTGTCCAGAAATAACATAATTAAACCACAGGTGACAAGATAGAAAGCTTGAACACTCAATACAAACCTCATGTGAACTGTGACCTGCCTTTTTTGTTTTTCACCATTTTATTTTATTTTTCTTAAACTGTACTTATAGGAAATATAGGAGTTTTTGGCCTATTATAGGAGTTTTATAGGATTCTATAAAATAAATAGGAAAAATAGGATTTATAGGAAGGCTGGGATGTATGCATATGGACTGTGGATAAATGTAAACAATGAAAGCTTTTCACAATACGACTATCACTGATCGCAATAAGCTACAGTACCTCATCATCTCTCCGTAGCAGGTATCTCCACACAATAAATCCTGATTTACCCTTCTCTGGCCAATACTTAACAACCTAACAAATATGTTACAGATTGTTTGAATTATGGGGAGAGCCAAATGAGCAACCCTACAAGTTTTTCAACACTGCTATTATTAAAAGTAATGCTCTGTAATGTATTGAAACAAAAGTAATGTGTATTCTAATGTATTGAAATCTTTTTTTCTGTCCTGTTACAAAGTGTAGGTAATGTTAACAATGTAATCTTGTAACTAGTGTAATGTATTGTAAAACATTGCAGCAAATAAAATTTTAAATTCAAAATATACATATGAGCATTTTCTCACCTTGTATATACCATCATATCTATTTCCATCAGCTGGTGCATATTTTGAATGTTTGGCTAGCTTGGAGCTTCTTACCTGTATTATGACAAACAAATTAGTGAACAATAAATTCTGAGAAAAAAAAATGTAAGTCACAATTAAGTGGCTGTAAAATACTTAGTGCAAAAATTAACTAATTTTTAATGCAATTGGATACAAAATTTGCCCTCAGTTAAAAAACCACTTGAAGATTGGACTCTCCTAAAGTAGTGATTAGGGAAACTGCTGTAAATCCAAAGGTAATGAGAGGTTTTTACTTTCAGAACTTTACAGCTATACTGTAATTTATTGACACTTTTTATCTTTACACTAACATACCACTCTCACAGCTTTTCCTTCTTTCCAATTATTGGCTACTGCTCCTTCTTTGCCATTAAAAGGAACTGCACAATTTTTAGCTAATGCCCTGAAATGGTAAAAATATATTAAATGATCAGATTAAGTGCTCGAGATTGTGTCAGTGTTGTTAAGCTACTTGCTCCTCTGAGCTCTACTTAAACCATTATAGAAAGGTGCAGAAAGAAGTCAGAAGTTACAGCACTCATTGCAACACTGTTCCAATGTAAAAAAGTGATGAATAACCTACTATGGCTTCTTTGTTTATTTAATTAACTGCGAAATCATGACTATAGTGTGGTTCTTGCTTTGCTTGTGATTTTTTTTCCTTGTTGATCTGACCAGAATCAGGCTCCCACTAGGTTGACTTCTGGACAAAACTTCAAACCACACAGCATTTGATGTTTCATACAGTAGAGCTATTAATAGTGGGTACAACTGGGCAAGAATTGCCTGTTCTTTTTGAGGTGACAGCCACAAAGATATGCAAAGGATTCCTATTGTATAATGAAGATGCAAGGACATTTATGACATGGACATTAAATTATGAAGACTCAAATGCAGAAACATGTGTTTGTTTACTGAGTGAAATAATGTTTTAGGGGTGATATAAGCATTTTAAGTTCTATTGTGGAAAAGCAATATTTCCCATTGCTTTAAAAGATGTGTTTGTTCAAGCAATGCTTGACGAAAATAATTGGAAATATGACTATTATTTTGTGTAGATTCAGTCAGTAGAGAACTGTTGGATTGTGTGTGTAACTAAAGACTGTTTCAATTGTCAAAAAGAGGAAGTGAACTGAGTAGGTCAACTAAAAAGTTTGCTGTTGTGAAGTTGGGTTTTATTTCAATTTTCAGTGCTGTTTTTCAAGCGTGTTGGTTTTATTTTATTTTTCCATGCAGTTTCCAAGTGTGTTGGGTTGCTGTCTTTTGGCTAGTGTTACTTTGGAAAACTCCTTTCTATTGATTTCAGATGTAAACAAAACCTGTAACAGTCTATTTTATAGAGGTGATATCCAAGTTACTGCTATTTAGCTTGTGCTGCTTCAGAGGACGGTTTTCAATTCAGTTTTCTCTAAGCTTCTTGTTAAGTTTTTCCAAACTCAGTTTATGCATATGCAGCTTACTTGAGATTAATCTCACTCCAAGTACAAGTAACTGAATGGAACATTTCTAGTCAGCTCTTACCTATTCATTTTTGTTAATGTTTGATCACATGACTGCTCTGCTGTTCTTTTATTTCCAGAAAGATCTCGTCCTCCACTTCCAGTGTAAAAGAATTCATCTCCATAGTCCTACAGAGCAAGATGAATGCTTAAGTGGAATCGTAACAATCTCGCCTCATGCTAAATAATTTAGCCATGTACATTCATTGCAGGACTGTGATGTTACATAATTATTAATCAAGCTCTCTGCCCATATTGTCAGACTATAATGCTACATAATATTCTCTATCCTAGTATTCCAGTTACTTTTTGTGTAGCACAGACCATTATAGTCTGGTTACAAAAAAAATTCACTGCCAAAGTAAAGTGGGCTGATGAGTTCCATGAAAATCTTGCCCAGAATAACTTGATAGACATTTCACATTGACATTTCAATTTCTTGCAGAATCCACAACTATTTATCAAACCCTTTGAAAGTTACCTTGCATTGCATTACAGGTTGTGTCATTTTCATGGTCTATATTCTAGTTATTAATCTACCCCAGTTAACCTATTCCAATTGACCATAGCCCTTGAGAAATGAGCATGGAAGAATTCTCTCAGTTAATGAAGCATTCCAGCAGTGTAGGTCTAAAATATGAGTTGTAACCCATTTTTTAAATCTGAGAAACAAGCAGTGCATCAGAACAATATCCCCTACGTGTAGTTGATGCTATTCCTTGTTTTCATTTCGAGTTTGTTTAACAATGACTGATATGTTATTGAGATGTTAGCTGTTGATCACTTTTGAAAATTTTGGGGTTAAGGTCCAAGACATTTTTTTGGAGACCTGGTCTGCTTACTCACCAAGTCATCTTCATATCCACCAGCGAGCACAATGGAGTATGCTCCATCACCATCTCGGCCATGAATACCACTGACATGAGGACGGTGTATTCCAGCTTCACTCACCTATTATTCAACACAAAATTGATCAATAGTGACTTTTTAAAACACAAACAAGCCAACATTAAAGTTAACAGCCAACATTTTGGTGTCATCATGACGCCATTCTCAAGGCAAAGTGAACAAATTAATGCAAAGATTTGACTTCTATACTTTTTACTACATTGTTACTAGACGATAAAAATTATTTACAAAACAGCACACACAGTACAAAAAAAAAAACAAAGTAAATTGAAAGCCACACCTGCACTCTGAACTTCCAAGCAGAACCTACAGGAACACCAGGAATAGGACCAAAATGGTTTGGAGGCACAATGGAACAAATCTTTGTCCGACCAACACATGCCATACCCTAAAAATCAGCACATCAATAATGATGATACACATGCAGTGATCTCCCATGATAATAAAAAAAATCAGAAAAAGTCTGGTTTTACCTACTAAACAATTAGATTATTCGCTCTCGATTTCTATCGCATGATAGTTGATAAGGGCGCAGCCTGACTCAACTATCGCGCGATAAAAATCAAGAGCGAATAATCTAATTGTTTTAGTATAAATCTACAAGTTGTTCAAACTTTATCTAATTCCTCTTCAGACACTTCGAAAACGCCAAGACGCACTGTCATTTTGCAATGGCACACTGCTATGCTACTATCTATCACAGAATGACAGTGAGTAGTGCAACCAATCAGCAAATGTGATAGAACGCTAATAGATTTGTACAGGTAATCAAATGATTTCAAGTGCAATTTGGAATAAATAAGCACAAGTACATTTTTCTAAGACTACAAAAAATTGCACGAGCCCATAGGGCTCGTGCAATTTGTAGTTGAAAAATTTTACGAGACAGTGCATATTTATTCCAAATTGCATGAGAAAAATCATTTGATTACTTGTTAATAATATACAAGTGACAATTTCTGTCACGCTTCAGTATTTTACTTGACAAATGAAGGGTCTAGCTACTTCAACTTTATTGGATGAAAATTTGACATGTGAATTCAAGCGTAAAAATTCATTCACTCTCTCCAAGTCATGTATGAAAACTGAGCACTTTCTTTTAACTGTGAAAAGCAGTCTGTTTTCACAGTTGAATTGAAGAACTTGACCCGAAAGTAAAAGAAAACCTCCCTGCGGTTTTGATGAGGCCTTCTTTACAACTGTTTTTCTAGTGTTTAAAAAACCCTGTGCTGTGTTCAAATTTATCTTTGCCAAGAAGAAAATCTTCAACCCAGCACAAGTTGCTTCAACCAAAAAGCCAAGAAACGAAGCTAAAATCTGCCAAGAAACAAATTTTCTTAGTACCGGAGGACATTTATTTACTTCATCTGGTTGCTTCCTGGCTTTAACTTCTTCACTGGACATTGTACAGGTTAGATTTGTGTTTGTCCCGTTTTGTTTGTGAACTATCTTACCTAATCTCTAAGCTTTGTTCTTTTGCAAAAGTAGAATGGTTGCACTTTTTGTCTTCAAAATTAAGACATGGCAGGTTCTTAGGATGTCTTGTTGGGTCCTTCTTCGGGTTTTGCTTCGTAGTACTGACAGAATTTTAAAATTGACTTTTTKAACTGGGATTTTGTCATGCCGTCGCGATCAGCTCCAGCATTTAACTCAAGTTGAACTTATATTTTTCTCCTTGCGGATTTTGTGTATATCTCTTATCCGACACATTTCGCAATAACTTGGTTGGTAATTTTTGCCAAGCTTTGAATTTTGCTTTGTTATGAAGTCTTTGTATTAAAATTTAGGTAAAGAGTTTAAGTCTTCGTCTCATTTTTGTCCGCCATTTTGTTTGTCCTAGCTCAATTTGGTCGGAACTGTCAATCATTTTTAATTTCACCATTTTGCACTCAATTTCACCGTTTACACTCAATTTCACTTTTTTGCACTGGTGAAATTGCAGTGATCACTGATTGGGATTAATTGACATGTTCTCGGCCAATCACACTGTGGAAATTGTTGCTTATATATTATTAATACTAATACGAAATAGATCCAATAAAATTTCTGAGTATTCCTTCATTCCTCAGTCCAATGCACTAACCATTAGGCCTCTGTGTATTTCAATATTAATTAAAAAATTAAGAAAGCCAATAATACAGCACAATTTCTAATGTTTAAGTCCTCATCTCTCTCCTCATTTCTGACCCGATGTACATAGCTTTGAATTATTCCAGCCAACAACATGAGCATCCCAAAATATATTCACTGACCTTTCCCCAGTCCCGGTTTGTTGTTGAATTTGATGATGCCATCTTCTGTTTCTTCTTACTCTCTCTTAACTTCTCACCAGCATGGATGACCTTACAACCACAAACAATACGACAATGTAAACCTTAAACTTTAAAGGCAAAAGAGTGTGTTTGCTGAAAGATCTAACAAAACTGTGTTCTTGGAGGTTTATTGCCATTTGTATTCATACTCAGAATTTAATCTAACTTAAAATTTACCTTTGCCTTAAGGTAATTCCTCTAAAATAAGAGTGACAATAGATTTTTGTTCAAACTTTGTCCACTGAATATTTGTCATATGATAACTTCAATTTTGAAATAAAAACGGGGGGTGCCCATGCTCATTAAGGAGCAGTGAGGCATTGAAAATGCCCCATTTTGGCATTATTTAATGCTTATTATAAGAACGCATTCCCAGTAATTGT